CGCGGGTAAGGCTGGGAGTGCTTCCCACATTCCCTTCTAAGAAAAAACAACAACAAACCGGTTGACAGCATACACTGCCCAGCTTGAACAATGGGCTAATTTCCTTCCTTTCTTTTTTTGCAACTCCTTCCTCGCCCACTAACTGAATTTTCCTCTCCTAATTACTCCCGCTAATTTATCTCCAAAACATCGCTGAATATCCTTTGTATGTGGGGTTTTTTTTAAGGAGCGAAGGAGCTTTGCAAAATTGTTTTCTGTGGAAACGGCCTGAGGCAAGAAAGCCAAATAAGCGTACGATGGGGTTCCTCTGCCGGAGTCATTACAGCCCCTGGCATCGCCACACGTTTGTCCTACGTAAGCAACGGGCCGGTAACGGGAGCGAGACTTGGGAACCACAGCCTGCTGCTGCCTCAGCTCAAGCCTGGACCGATAATTCTGTTTATATGTTCCATTTTATTCTCGTATCGCCTGCCTTACTGACCAACTGGCAACGCTTTTCCTAAAAACTCCTAAAAAAAATAACCACAATTGCGATCTCGCGGTATTTTTTAGTTTTAGGCGCGTTCCTAAAGAGTGGTGCCACCTCATTTGGTTTATACAGTCCTAACACGGCAAGTCTGCAGCTTCGTCCCAACTCTCTGGGAATCTCTGGAGCGGGCACACAAAAGCTGACAGAAATGCTTGTGAAACCTGCGGGTAGGAACTGTATTGGTTACCGGAGAATTTTGATTTACTGACCACACAGCGCCCACCAGCCTAAAGGGGAAGGCGGGCGCGAGAAGGAAGCCAGCGCCCCTCTCAGAATTAAGTCCTGCCTGACACCTGGTGAGAAATCCCGATAAACTAGCAGGGATGCTGTCGAAGGAACATCCGAGCAGCCTCCCTCAGCTGTCCTGACCCCTTGGCTCGATTGCAAGAAGTGGGTTCCACAACCACTCGCAAAAAGCAGACACTGGATGAACCCACCTGACACTTCTCTGCTCTGGGAAGGAAGGAGGTAGTTTGGAAAGGAATTACCGCCTCGTATTACTTACATGCCTTTTTTCTTTTTTTTTTTTATTTCTAAATACATATTAACGTAGACAATTATGGGAGCTACACTAATGAAGGAGTTTCAACGTTTTGAATGGTGTGAATATTTTCTTGAGGCTTCAGTGGTTCTGTTCGACGAGGGAGTAAACTCAGTCAAATGCCTTTCTGGTGTCTATTGGCAACAACTGAAACGCAAAAATCCAGCTATTAAGACCCTACCCCTTTTGTGGCAGGTATATGAAGTGACCGGAGACCACCGCGTTCTGTTCTCTGTGTAGTTTCAATCTGCATTTGCCACATGGACTCACAGGACTTACAAGCAGGAACAAACCTGTCTCGATGACACGCAGCAATAATTTTTACTGCTTCTCCTTGTTGACAGTTCACCATCTCGAATTTTGCAAAAAAATTAGTACAGATTTTGAAGAACAAGAGAAACCAATAAATACTTAAGTTAGAATGATTTTGTTTTACTTACTCTTAAGGCTTTTGAAAATTTCCTGTCGCTTATTTTTCTGTAACTGCATGTATATGCTATTTGTAAATATTTTATTCATCACGGAGAAGGCAGTAATTACCCCTTAATTCAAAAATCACATTTTCCTGAGCATTTTTCTGGAAAAAAAACCTCTGATGCCTTCACGGTCCGGGGTAAGAATTCAAAATTTTCAAGAGATATCCTTGGGGTCAACCAGGTCTGTGACTTGCACCATCCTCCTTACAGCCCCTTACAAGATTGCTGAATTGTAAAAGGTTTAACGCCCGCCCGTTCCCTTCTGTGATTTTCTCAACAGAGTTTTAAAAAGACAGGAGTTGCCAAAATTACCCAACGCTCCCGCAGCCTGACCACATCTTTCTACACACCCCTGGGAAGAGCCGCGTGTCTAGGACAGGCAGGGGCAAAACTGACCCTTTTCTGATCAAAATGTTCTTCCAGCGTGGAGAAAAGAACCCTGAGAGCGTTGGGAACTTGGGTCTCAGGTCTGCGCTCGGCTTCGCCTTTTGTTACCGTCCAAGGGCAATCTCCTAGTTTCCCTGAGCATCTGGTGCTCCTTTGAATTCTATCACTAAACATTCTTGGAGGAGAGACCAACAGTCGCAGAATCTTTTTTTTTTTAATCTTGATAAGGCAAAAAAGCTTTGGGACTAGACTGATTTCCCTTGGGAGTAAACAGTGATTCTCTCATCATACTTCAGAGTGAAATCGCTTCTGAATTCTATCACTTCATAACCACCACCATATGTCCATCTGACCTGACTGCTACATCCTTTCTTACCTGCAATACAACCTCTGGCTCCATACGTCAGCCAAGGCAATCGGGTTACAATTAACCCTATCAGGGAGAATACAACCAAAACTACGAAAATCTGGAAAGCCGCGCTCCCGCAACATCGTCGTTTCTAGAGCCCTTTGTGCTTCGAATCCTTAAAGACTCTCCAACCAAGAACAAAAGGAAGGGGAAATGTTTCGATCTCTGAGAAAACCTCCCAGGAGATCTTTAAAAGGAGCGTTTAACATCCTACCTTTGTAAGAGCTGCAGCTGACGTCAAGGAGTGGCCCAAGGCTGTTTCGGGGTAATCCACAGACATCTGGCGACCCAGCGATGCAGGAGGGATGTCGGCCAGTGGTGCGCCAGCGCCGCGGGGCCCCGCTCCCCTCTCCTGGCCTTGATCCTCGCGTGCTTCCTGATGGGCCAGCTCTGTCGGCGAGCGGGAGGTCCTGCCTACCGACTGCGCCGCGCTGAGGACGGTCATCTTGGTCAGCAGGGCTTTTGGTAGACCATCCATAGAGTCCGTGTGAACCCCAGCAAAACAGTCCGGAAGCCTGATGTCTTCATCGGCGCCGGCGGTGTCCTGCAGGCCGTGTCGAGAGGGGTGATGCTGGGGGCTGGCTGTCACCGAGGGGGTGGTGGAGAGGACCGACTCAGCCTGGCTGTCTTCGTCGTCGTCTTCATTGTCGTTTTCATCTTCATCCGCGCCGTCGGATTCCTCCACGTCGTATCCCGACCGGTCGTAGCCAAATCGTTGCTTCTCACCTGCAAAAACAGGAGTAAGAAGGTAAGCCAAGGAAGGTCCCGGACTGAGGAGGAAGGCGGTGGGAGGCAGTAACTAGAAAGACCAAAAAACCCCACATGGCACGTGCATTTTTCAGTCGCGATACATCCCATCAAAGCAACGGGGAAGATCTCCACTTTTATTTTCCAGCACGGACAATTAACCACACAGCTACATAATCTTCCATCTTCCGCTCCCGCGCTGGTTTTAAAACCTTCTGGCTGTGGCCATTTTCTTTTAGACCATTTATAACCATTTGCGTAAAGTCACCCTTGGGCTCTTTCGCTTGCAGATTCCCGGGTCGTTAAAGCTCCCGGTGACGACACACACGAAGCCCGTCTGCCAGCCTGAGCCGGGGATACTCTCTAAGCTGGTTCTAACTCATCAGTGGGTGTCCCTGTGCCTAATCTGAATCACCGCTGCAAAGGGGATTTTTCTGAAGGATGCAAACAGGAGGCTGTTAGTCAGGAATCTGTCTCGTTAACGGACAAGGGAGACCAAAATTAGACCTCGCCAGGTTTCTTCGCTTTGCTGATGTTTTGAAAGGTTTATTAACAAGCCCCCAAGATGTCCTAGGAGGCAAGAAAAGCTCAAATCCTACGAAAACACACCTCTGCAGGAAACTTTGCTCACATGAAGAATCTCTCCTGACTTCACGTCTTAAAGCCAAACTGCTGTCTAGTGGTAAACCCTTCTCCAAAATACAGCTCTGCTGCAGCTTTTCACCTTCTTTTATATCATAACTTGGAAAGAAAGAATCGTCTTTAGCACAGAGACAGAAAATCCCATCTGCTGTATCTGATTCTAAGCCAGGCTGTCTGGGATCATATTTTATAAACGACAAAATGCTCTGGATGCACTAATATTTTATATTTATTAAAGGTCTGTCTGCTGAGCTCTCAAAAAAAATTTATAAGTATCAGTGTAAACATCATTTGGTTCTGCAAAATGATGGGCTAGTTAATTTAAATCTCAGAGATCCTGTTCTAAGAAAATCTAGACGGCAACTTACCATCGAAATAAAAAATTCTGGAAAAAATCAGACTCTTAAAAGCATCTGAATATGCTACCAATGCTTTAGGCCGCTACGTTACTAAAACCAAAATAAGCACCTTGAATTCCAGGTCAAATAAATGGGTTTAATGGAGCTACCCCTCAATAAGTTACCCACCATTACAAGCCTTTATGGTTTCAAAGGAGCAGTGCCATTAGGAATGAGACTAATACTTTCTTTGAAAAAAATCCCCCTGTAATCCCCCTCTTTGCCTACACAGTAATTTGTACATTAACTAAATAGGCAAACTATAGATTTTCTACATTCAGTACGCAGTGATGAAATTGAAACGTTAGGAAAAACACCCTAAATCCTCCAGGTCACTGGAACGATACTAACAAAAATATTTTTTAGAATTTTAAATAGTCTTTATTTATAAATCTCTTCTACAGACAAAGCCACTCAAGGAAGCAATTACGCTTTAGTGGAAAAATTAATTCAGCGAGACCCATTCCAAAAATACAGCAAGTAGGATTGTTAAAAACATTATTAACGAAACCAGGTGGTGCTATTCAACTTTTTTTTTTCCTGTAGTTGCAGCATTTCTCTTCTTTGCACAAAGTGTTTCCTCAGCATTAACTTGCAAAGCAAACAAATCTAAAATGTTAGAACCTCGACATATGTTAAACTTCCAAATGGAAATAACTCCCCTTGATGCCTCTGCAACAGAGCTCAGAGACTTCTCCAAGGGTGACCCCGGCATTTCCTGCAATTCTTTAAAAGCCTCGGGTTTCAGCCCGGGCTCCCTCTTCATTTCGGTCTACTTGCCAGCATCACATTAACTATTCTCTGGGTGTTACTGTTTCTTGTCTTGGGTTTTTTGGTTGTTTTTTCCCTCCCTCTCTGTGCACGAGTCAGATTTTCTACGAAAGTTGACGTCAACCACAAACGACCCTGGAGAGAAACTCCCTGCTGCAGCGATTACACTGACCTATCGCTTTCGTAAAGCAAGGAAAACACAAGCTGATTTATAGGAAATCAAGTTTTCTATCAAACCAACATTTAAAAACCGTTACAGGATCACCGGGCAACGGTCCGCGTGAGGGACAGGGACTCCTGACCCGCCGGACTCGGTGGGATATCATTTCCCTCCATTGTGTCCCTGTTTACCTCCACCCTCTGTGCCTTTGCCAGCTTCGATGCCGGCGCGGTTACCTGGAGCCAGGGCCCGCGGCGGGCGGAGGCGAGGTGATGGCGATGAACGTGGTTCCCCCCGTCCCGCACCGCTTCCGAACCTCACACGAGGAAAAACCCATCCCTGGACTCAAGGAACTGCTCTGCTCCGGCTTAGATACCCCAGGCCAGGGTTTTAAGGGGTGCAAGACCCAGGCACGTTATGATGGGTGTTCTCCAAGCGAGGCTGTGACTGCTCTTCATGGCAAAAAGCTCTTTTTTTCTTTTTTTTTTTCCAGGCACCGTTTTGTTAACCAAGCAGTCCTGGCCCCAATCCATTTTAGTAATGGTATGCCACCTACTAAAGTTCCCTGGCAGTTTTAATTAGGGAAAAAATTAATTTTTTTCCTTTCCTATCTTAAACCACGCACGATTATAACCATATGCTTATGTATCTGATTGATATATATACACACACACATATATAAACTAGAACTGACTCAGTTTCCAAAGGGAACAAAATGACTTCTGTGTTTAACTTTGTGTGAGGTTGTAAAGCAGTGCCGGGATATTTCAGAACGAAGGATGTGTCATAAATTTAAAGGCCCATAGCATATGGGGAAAGGGCTTCTGGCATGGAAGGTCAGGGGTTTTTTTTTAAAAAAAAAAAAAGGAGGAAGAAAGTTTCACACTATTAAGTGAAGCCTTTATGAAAGCAGCTTCTTTCAAATTAATAACTCTCATCGTTTTAATAGAAAGACTATTCCAGACTGACTTTTTTTTTAATAGTGTTTCTGGAAGAGTAGGGAATGTCTCTCATCCTCTGACAACTGCTGCAATCTTGACTTTTAAACCCTTAGCAAGACTCTCTTCTTGCTGGACTTTGCAGGAGAAAGTGGAACCTTTGGCTGCAGACACGAACTCTGCAAAAATTAGGATCAGCTAGTAGTAAAGGTATAACAGAACTTCTGACTGGGGATTTCACTCGCATGCCAGCTATAATCATATTTAATATAACTGAGTTTCTAACCCCAGTTGTTGAAGTAAATGCAGACAAACCACACGCAGAAACCACCTGAGCCCTTCGTTTATTTTGTCGTTGCTCCTCGGTTAATCCATCAGCTCTTCACTGTGTTTGTGGGGCTGATGAGCTTGCTGGCTGAGGCTGTGCTCTACTGACGTTTTACCTCAAAGCAGGCATAGACAAAGCTCCAAGTTCTTCAGCACAACAGCGTCAGCTGGACTTCTCAGCATCCTAATGTGTCCATTACCTGGGGCTGGTAAGTCCAGGAACTGCTTCTTCCACTTGTGATGCTAGAAGTTAGGCAACTGAAATAGGTTTTGCTATGTACTTTCGAGTTCTTGATTTGAAAAACTTTTCCCACAGGAAATCCTTACTGTGTGTGGTTAGGAACTGCCACTGAATTATCATGCTGCAAAGTATTAAAAGAAAGGTTCTTCAGAATCTCAGCTTACGCCTTTTACCTTTCACTGGGCATTATCACCAGTCAGGCCCTGCTACAGACGTTGCACTTTCCGCACCCAATCCAACGATAATGCCCCATGGCTCACAACTCTGGTTATAACTTAATCATGTTGAGGCAGATTTTCACATAAAGAGCAAAATGTTTACTTTCGACCTTTCACTGGCAAGGGAGAACTGAAAATCAAAGTGCAAACTGCAGAAATTTTACGTGTTCCTAAGCGAACGGACAATTACGTAGATAACTACAGGACTGCTATTAGCTCTGCTTACACAGGTTAAAGACATAGCGAACAGACCAACAGGTACTTAGCAAGCTATCTATCGCCATTTCAATTTACATTTACTACATTTAGTGGCTTTTAGCACCTGAGCAATACAAAGCAGTGTTTATCGCCTCAAATCGTTTAGGTACCTTCAGCTATGGATTAAAAGCATTTAAGCATTAAGCATTTAAAAAGCATTTTAAAATAAACGACTGGCTCTGTATTATATCTTGTTCATAAAGCTCAGGAAAAAAATACATATTTAGGCAATAAGGCAGAAATATTTTTCAGGATGTCATTGTATAGTCACAGATTTGAAAGTAAGGTCTGCATGCCGTCAGTGCAGTTTGCTAAACAACTGCAAGCTTGGAATTGCCTTTCACCTGTTCTGTTGATCTTGTAATCGACTGTTCTGCAAATATTCAATTTTAAAAAGGGTAAAACAAAGGACTCCGAAACAATGGTAGAATCTGTACCCAAACTTGCTTTCTCCTTATCTCTTTTTGCCTGTTCACAGCCTTGACTTGACCGGTTTCAGTCCTGCTTTGGCTACTGTCCACTGCCCAGCGCCACCACACAGGACTCACAGTGACATCTGCTGGGTTACACGGACTGGTAACAAACCAGCGCTCCTCAGAAACGAGGGGCAAAAAAACCCCCCAAAAGTCAAAACAACAAGCAACCTGTGGGCTTTTGACTACTGTTCCTAAGAATAAGGAAAACAACAAATAAAACTGTCCAAAAACATATGAGTAACTTCTGTTTAAACAGGTTACTGACTCCTAAGCCTTCCTGAGCAACCTGCATGTTGCAAATCAAGCCTAGTACTAGAAGTCTACTCCCAGGTGTAGGGCTCCAGCAAGCTGAACGTGCATCTGGTTGAAGACAAGGCACCGCTATTAAATAACAACAAGAAAAAAAAAGGTTAAAAACTATTTCTTGTAAGCTATGCAGAGCCAGCCTTCCATTCTATTTGCAAAAGGAGGATATTATTGCAAGGGTTTTCATTTCTTTTCGCTCCTTAAACGTAGGTGCAGCGAAAACACAGGACTGAGTCATGATTAAGCTAATGAAGAGCCGCAGAAACTCATTTAAGATAAACTATAAGCAATGTATAGTTAATTAGCTCAGAGATACTGTATCTTTGGGAGGGCTTATTTAGTACTGAAGAAAATGAAAGTGTTATATATATGTGTGTGTGTGTACACATATATATATATATATAAAAAAATACACCCCTGAAAGTTACAATTACACCTTTACACTGATCAACTAATGAATATTTTGGGATAAAATTTCTCCGTAGAGACCATTTAAGCAAGTTCTGCCCATCTATTGATTTCACAGTTAAATAACTACCCCGTGCCCGTTTACTGATGTGTACTATACCACGCACACATTAGCTTATATATGAAATAGAGGTTTAAAGGTTGTAAGTGCTTTAATTTGAAGACAAATTCTTGTTTTTAGGACTGCACAGCAGATTGTTGGGTCGCCACAGCCAGAGAGGATATCCCCAGTTGCAGTTTGTCACGCTAAACAGCTCACCTCACCTGACAATTTAATTCAGATATTAACATTCCTTACATTGTAACCCTGTATTTTGGTGATAAGAACATTCCACAGTGCAGAAGATGAAAGATAAATGGATCAGGGAATGGTTTGAATACAAAAAGCCAGGCCAGAAAGTATTTACTAATACCCAGATGATGACAAGTCCAAACAGAAAGAATGCTCTGTTAAAAGCTCTGATCGCGTACAGTCCCCGACAGCCAGAGAGCATCTCTTCCTTCTTCTCCCTAGATGCTACAGCGTAACAAAATTTCAGCTTCTCAGATTACTGAAAAAACAGGCTCTGTGTGTGTGTGTGCGCCTGAATTCAGGATTGTGCACAATTTCGCAGTCCTCATTCAATTTGCATGCACTATTAATCTGCGCTGCTATCGGGTCACAGCTGACTTCTTGTACAAACCTAAAAAATTCAAAATTCAAATTCAAATAATAGTGATTGCCTGTGCTTTAAAAAAACCCTTTTTTTCCCTGACATCATATTTATTTCTTATCAGATTTTCTGCACCTTCCTCTCCAGCATCGCACATTGCCTTCCAGCTGAGGAAAGAGATGGGACCGGGCAGAGCACTGTCTAAGAGAGAGCGTTTTTAACAACCACTCGGCTCCTGAAGGAATAAAAAAATGTGTTTAAAGACACTGGTTTTTAAAGCACTGAAAATATACGCGGCACAAACTCGCCACGAGTGCAGCTGAACACCCCAGCCCCATCACATTCCCCTGCAGTTTTTAACGTACGCAACTGGGAATATTGACCAACAAAACATTTTCAGTCCCTACCAAATGGAAATACCCGCTCAGCTGTAGTTTACGATACTAAATAAACCGTCGAAAGCTACAGAACAGTGCCTCAAAAAGTTGCGACGGTTTTTTTGTCAAGCGCAGGCTGAAAAGGTTAATGAAAACCGTTCCTCTGCTAGAATCTGTGCTGCCGCTTCTCTCCTGGGTTACTTGTTCGGTACCTCAGACTGCAAAGAGGGACACGGTTTTTAGCTCACCAGAGAGGAGTATATAGAAGAATGCCAAAAAAGGGAAAATTCAGTTTCCTTTGTACCTAGCTCCTGAATCATACCCACTGAGTCACATTCCCAGCACTGCTCAGAATTAGATTCCAGTTGATTCGCTTAGCCTGCTCGCGGCTGGCAGCTGGGAGCAAGCGCATTCATCTTTCTTGCCCTTTACTGTTTAAATAAAGATCCCCACTGCTTTCTTTTCTCAAAACCTCATCCACGATCTCATAAACTATTCTGCTGGAAGGAGAAAAACGCAACACGGCAAGGCAACCTCTTTGACTGTCCTCGACCTCATCTCCTCTCCAGTGGAGCCATCTCAGGATGCAGGAAGCACAGAACTCCAAGTAGGAGCAAACACACTCATTTTGATAACACCAGAACGGGTCAAGACGAATAACATTCATCGTTTCTAAACGATCTCTATCCCCTGATTTACGTGAGGGAGGACAGAACTCTACACTGGGAGATGATCCTTGCAAAGCACTCACCAACGTATCTGGGATGTGGGCAGCATGCTAGTGATACAATTTTTACGAAGCGTGCATCTCAAAACTTTAACAATCTCATGCACAACTAGCTTTGAAGAAACACGACATTTGACTGCCTTTTTTTCTAGGCAAACAGCTGTTTTTCTGCTATTTTCAGTCTCGTCATATTTATCTGCGAAACTGATAAACTGCGTAACACCGTGAAGAATTCAGCAGCAACTTATCTTTAGCATATGCTTGTCACTTCTTCTGCTGAACATTTTTCAATATTTCTTGCTCCCTTGGACTAGCTTCTAAGATTTTTACTTCTGTATCTTTTCCCTGTACGAAAATTTAATAGCTTTGGAAAAGAAGGGGTAAGAAACTGGAATGGCAAATAAATACAAAAGCGCAATAAAGAAAGAAGATTTTACTTTCTTACCAAATTCTTCCTCTCCATCCTGGTCATCTATTAAGCCCACTGAGACTCCCAAATCCATGCACTTCTTGCTATGTGCCTTTGACTTCATATGCTTTGTTAAATTTCCTTAAGAAAAAAAGAAAAAAAATTCATTGCCCCGTGACTACACAAATGCGCACAAATACACGCTCAGAATCTCTCCTTGACTCCATTTATAGGCACCTGTATAATTTGATTTCACACCTGACAGAACCTTGCCACTCAATTCTAGCTGTCAAGGGCTGCTGCAGATTCACCCTCCTGACTGCTCCCAGCTCTCTGGCCACGTTTCCCAAAGTTCTTTATTAATATAAAATAGACTAGGGTGGAAGTGCTAGATATGATGTAATTTTGCACGGGTGTAAAAGATCCTCCATTCATTTATGGCAAAGTTAAAGAAAGGCCGATTCAGCCTTCCAAGTCAAGGTGACAGAAAACTATCACGGAACTAAAGTTCATGCCTTGCAGCTCTTTTGGATTCCATTTTTAGTGTAACCCTCTTTACCTAAACAGACAGATTCATTTTATTCAGAATCAGAGCATGAACGTAATTTGATCAGAATCTCAAAACTGAACGCGTAACTGCTGAGAGGCTGCTCTCCCCTTCCTCTTTGACAGGAAAATACGGCAAAAGGCATCAAGAAATGTGAAGAGTGGATCAGAGCTCTGCAAATGGTATTTGTGAAGGGTATGTAACCACAAGCAACTGCTCACTTTATACTTCAGCTTCCTACCATCTCTTGAAAAATGGTTATGGAGCGCTTTGCTCCTGCTCTGAAATGAAGGCAGCAATTCACACTGAATTTTTTAATAGTTGTCAGGAAGCTCTATGACCATACTGACTTGCAAACAGCGAATTTCCCAGCTTTAGGTACTGTGTGAAGTTACTGGCTACACCATCCTGTCAGGAAGGGTGGTTGACTAACCCTCAAGCACCCAACAACTGCCGGACTGACGCGGTCAGTGGCAACGGCAACAGCTGAAGAGAAAACAACAACCACAATCAGAATTCACTGGGTTCGCACTCTGGCCTTTCATCTCGAGGATGACACGGCGACCCAGTGTCGTCTTGATGCAGGTTCTGACACATTTCAAGAGTACCCAGCCCACTTTCTGCAGCAGCGGGTTATTTCTTGGCAGTTTTGCGCCCAACCGCTGGGTAGTCTCAAACCCACTGAAAATACGAATGTTTCTGAGGTTACAGCTGGAGGGGATTATTGCTCCACAATGTTCAAAGCCAAGAGAAATTTTACTGCTTAGAAATTATTTCGCTGCAAGTATTTTGGCTGTGAACTTCTCCTGTCTGCTTCACTTATTTGGAGTCCTGGATTTACCACTACTTAACAAAGTGCCTGCTCAAACTAGGATGGATTTAAATATCTGGTGTAAAAAGGCTTTAAAAAGCAGGGGTCCATCTCTGGGTCTTAGAAGGTCAAGTGGAAAGTGAACATTGTCCTTCAAGGGTGCAAAACCCACTTCAATACAGCAACTTAATAATGGCCACTTTCTTCCCCAGAGCAATTTTCCAACCTGAATTGTTCTATAATTAGTTGAGTGCCAACAGAGGTACAACAATGCCAATGTCATACCACCGAGAGGTCACTGCGAGCGACTTAAAGTTCTGCGTTCCCATCCCTATCTAGGACGAGCCACTGACCAGCTCACTTGTCTTCCCCCAACCTGCCTCATACTCCCGTATGATCTCCCTCGTCCACTCCAATTTCTCAGCCACACATTCATATAAATATCCGAACAAACACTACAGGAGACAAAGGAAATCAGAAATGACAAAGACCTGAAGCACTGGACAGTGCAACTCCACGGAAAAGCAACCTCTTTAGCTTATGAACAGCCAAATGTGAGAAGGAGAGAACTGTACTTGAGAGCAGAAGGGAAAAAGGTGGGAAAAATGTCCATGAAAAGAAGCCTTACCTTTAGTTTTGAAGGAGAAGTTGCAGTAATTGCAGTGGTAAGGGCGGACGTCTGTGTGTGTGCGGATGTGCTTCTTCAGCATGCTGGGTTTCTTGCAACGTATCCCACATTCTTCGCAGATATACTTCCCTCTCCCTCTGCCCCGGACGTACACGTAGTCTTCGTTTGACTTGTACCTAGGAACAGCACCGTAAGAGTACGGCAATTAGCTGTCACAGGAAAACGATTCTAGTTAGAAATCCTAATCTACTAGAACTTTAACCATAATGTAACAGGTGAAAATGAATAACTGACAAGACCAACCATGCCCTTCTTCTGCTCAACTTCTGCATTTATCCGTTAAACTTACAGCGAGATTTTTTCACTAGGCAATCATTAGGAATAACAACCTATCTTTTTCTAATAAAGGTACCACTCGATACTACACATTTAAAGATTTCAAATTTCCTCTCCGCAACACAGGAACATACTTTTCAAAAGTGTCAGTTCTTGGAAGCAGGTTTGGGCACCATGAGGAAGCTTTAAAAAGAGCATCTCTGAGGCTCTGCGTCTGATGCAGAAAAGGAACAAGATTAGTTACAACAATGGGAAAGCCTTTAAAATTCCCTATCGAGGCACCCTGCACTCAGCCTGCTGGGACGAGATGGAAAAAAATATCTAATTCAGATTCAATTACATCCTTTCTATCTCCGCTCAAGGATCCCAAAGGTTGTGCTTAACTTTTGCGACCCGGTCCCTGCGACGCCTGGATCTGAGCAGAGACAGCAGCAGTGTTCTGCCCCGACAGTTGATGGCTAAACTGCTGGTCCAGACCAGATTCAAACTGGGAACCAATACACGGGAAGCCTGATAGCTCGCCACCAATTACAAGACTAATAAAGCACACACCGTTTGTGCTCAGAAGTTTTAGAAACACGGCTGGGACTTTTCTGCTTAAAAAAAAAAAAAAAAATCCTTTCTACAAGATGTTGTACGTGGCACAACGCTGTGGCTAAAGCAACTGTTATTCGTATCAGGCAAGTGATTTAAGGTATTACAGCGCATGGACAAGGGCTCTCAGTAAATACTTCCCCAGCACTTTTCAAATCAGGACTTCTCCAGCCTGTGTATGCCACAGCAAGCTGCCCCGGACCGGACCGCAGAACACTGCTCAGTCCCTGGACTATACCCTCTCTGCTTACACTTAACACAACTTTATTGTAGAATAGATGTCATTTATCAGGTAAAAGAAATAATACAGGAAAAGAATTTACATCTATGGCTATATCTAGCAGCCTTTGCTGCTGATTAATGTTTGTCCTCTGGAAAAAAAAA